GATGATAGCAAGCGAATGGCTGTTGTTGGTGAAGGACGTGAAAGGTTTGTACTGCCGGAGTAGTAAGAGTAATTTTAAACTGAACTGGAGCATGTGACATTAATTTCTTTGAGCTCTGCACAATGTTATTAGTGACTTTCAGATTCGGCCATGTTTTCTTGTTCGATACGGGGACCTCAAATGGGAACCTGTCGGGCCAAAGTCGTGTAATGTCAAGCATTGATTTCCGCCCGGCCAGGCCGTACAGACTTGTTAGTGGCTCCGAAGATAACACAGTCGCGATATTCGAGGGACCTCCATTCAAATTTATGACCGTGCGTCTTTAAATCAGTTCGCAGTATAAGTTTGCCATTAAGTTTGGAGAGAGTATGAAATGTAGAAGTTTCGTTGCAGTTATTTCACGAGCATACACGCTTTGTTTATTGCGTCCGTTACAATCCCAGTGGCACACTGTTCGCCAGTGCTGGAGCCGATGGGAAGGTGAGCTTTATGTCTTTGTATATGTTCACTGATAGTGCATTTTTCAAACGAGCGGCTGTTAATTTTGACGTGATAGGTAATGGGGTAAGCTACAAACAGATATTTTATGCTGGTGAGCGGGTAACAAAGGGAATCTCGTTGCTGGGTTTGTTGCACCAAGGCCCTTATTGAATAGCTATGCCAGTAAACTAATAGTAGCGCATAGCAGTTACAAAGCGTTTCAAAATAAACTGCTTTTTTTTAAAAAAAAAAGACATCTGAGGGCTGTCTGCTGTCACTTATCTGACGCCAGTTGCATCTTTGTTAAAAAATTAAACCCCTCTTCGTATCTCACTTTTTATGCGACGTGGAAGCACATGGAAATATCTTAAAACGACAGCCACCAACTCGCAGGGTTGTTCGGGTGGTTTTTTTCTTCCGTAATGCAACTTGTTTGTGGTTGCAACTGACAAGCTCGTGCTAGTATTGTATTTCGGGAACTTTATTTTTTGGTTTTCGTATGTTGTGCTGCTTGTTCTAATCTGCATTTTCAGGTTGTATTATACGAAGGCACAAATGGCAGTAAAGAAGGCGAATTTGTGGATGAGCAATGTAAGGGAGGTGTGGCACATAGTGGCAGTGTGTTTGGGTTATGCTGGTCTCCAGATGGGCAGCATATTGCAACTGCTTCCGGTGACAGGACTGTCAAAATTTGGGATGTCGCATCGAAAAAATTGATGAAGTTAGTTTCCTATCGTGCTTTTATCTACACTCACTTACCATTTCGTGTGCTGTCACAGCTGAACATGATCAAGATGAACTTTTTGTTGCGCAAACTTAGTTGTCTGTGTCCACGTTCCTCACTGCAGCAGTTTGCTGTAAGCCGCCCTATGTTCGCACCCCGTCACTTCGTGTCTCAGTTTTCCGATGGTCTCTTCTGACGATGGATGAGTACGGTTGGCCTAAATCCCACTGGAGCATTCGACCTTTCTTGAACTGTTTTCAACGCAGTCAGCGAAAGCAGAAACACTTGACTGGACCGACGATAGTTGATTCTATGCCGTAGATGTCATCTTTTTTTTTTTTAATATTTGCTTGGGCGAAAAAGAAAGGGTAAGTTTCAGGAAAACAAGCTGATTTTTTTTTGTTATTTTTAGCACATTCAGCATTGTTGATTATTCTTCCAGTTAAATTTATTTTTTTGTTTGCCAAGAAAGAGATATCAGCTCACAAAGCTGCTAGGATTAATGAGTAAACGAGCCATATAAGTTGATGTAGCCTGTTGACTTAAATACTTACTTTAGGACTTTCGCGATAGGGAATTCAGTCGATGACCAGCAGCTTTGCGTTGTCTGGACAAAATCTTTCTTGGTTGGAATAAGCCTTTCCGGTTTCGTCAATATTTTGGATTTGGAAAGCGGTTCCGTGTCGAAAGTTTTAAAGGGCCATAACAAACCGCTAACTTCCTTGGCAGTTTGTGCGGAGAAGTCGTTAGCTTTCACTGCTGATTTCGAAGGCAATATTAGTGAGTTTCTTTCTAACGCTTTGGCTAATGTTTTTAGACTGGGGTGGGCCCTTTTCGATAATTTATTATAGTACGTGGCGGAAGCGGCGTAGTCGCGACACCATGTGTAGTTCTAAGCGTTTCGTCGGAAAGCCAGCTGTTCGAGGAGTCGCTGATGTCACGCTCCTGTAATAGGAAAACTGGTACTTCATCGTCTTTCTTCTCAGAGCAGCTTCTGGAAAAATGGTCATCGGCCGCCAGCAAAAACCATTCTGCGGAAAAATCATAGTGAAATACAGTAATTCTTCCAGAACAAAGTAGTGCTTTGGTTTTGTGCTGGAAA